CCTAAAAGGAAATGAAGTACTGACACAGGCCATAACATGGATGAGCCTTCAAAACATCACTAAGTGAAAGAAGCCAGACTCAAAAGGACATATATTGTGTGATCCATTGACATGACATGTCCAGAATAGACAGTCCATAGAGACAGCAGATTTGTAGCGACCAGCAACTCAGCAGAGGAATGGGAAGTGACTGCTAGTGGGTGCAGGGTTTCCTTGTGGGACTGTGAAAATGCTCTAAACTTAGGTAGTGGTGATTGTTGCACAACCCTGTGAATTATTCTAAAAACCACTGAGTACACACTTAAGAGAGTAAATTTGATAGTGTATGAAGTATATGTCAATAAAGCTATTGTTTAAAAAACTAGAGGCCCAGTGCACAAAAATTTGTGCACTCAGGGGGCTCACTCAGCCTGGCCTGTGCCCTCTTGCAGTCTGGGACCCCTTGGAGGATGACCACCTGCTGGCTTAGGCCCACTCCCTGGGGGGATCAGGCCTAAGCCGGCAGTCAGACATCCCTCTGGCAGCCCGGGAGCCCTCGGGGGATGTCCACTTGCCAGCGGGGAGCAGGCCTAAGCTGCAGTCAGACATCCTTAGCGCTGCTGAGGAGGTGGGAGAGGCTCCCACCACCATCGCTGTACTGGCAGCCGTCAGCCTGGCTTGTGGCTGAGCAGAGCTCCCCCTGTGGGAGCTCACTGACCACCAGGGGGCAGCTCCTGCATTGAGCGTCTGCCCCCTGGTGGTCAGTGTGTGTCATAGTGACCAGTCGCAGTCGCTCTGCCGTTAGGGTCAATTTGCATATTACCCTTGTATTATATAGGATGAGCATTAACAAATGAACATTTGTAGTTGATTTTGATGATAGAGAACACTAAATTGGAGCCCTTATTAAGCAACTGTTATTTACCCCAAAAAGAATTCCATTCTTCTCATTAGCAGACCAGTGTTAAAAAAAATGTATTGAATTATATTTTGAATTCTATCAATAAATGTGAAATTTTATGTTCTCTCTCTTTTTGGTAAAAGTACCTCATTATCCCCTTGAGTTATCCTCTTGACCTATGAAGTTTAAAGTGTTTGCTGTTTTGCCTTTGGAGAAAATGTGCGCTAGCCCTGGCTTCAGCTCATTACTTCTGCCTGTTACTCCCCTCATTCCAGTTCCAACTTCTGTTGTCTCTTTAAGACTCCGCTTCAGTGACCCTTCCCTCTGCAGGAAGCCTTGCTCACCAACCAGGCCAAGGAAAAACGTGGCTTTTTTGTTTTCTTAGTGCTTTCCACAAACCTTTCTAACAGCAGCAACCATGCATAGTTGTTTGCTCCCAGGTGTTTATTCCACACTGGACCGTGGGGCTCTGGCAGGCAGGGACTAGCTTGTGTGCATTCCTGTAATCCCTGGTGCCACAGAAGGGAGTGGCAAGAAATACTCACAGTGATGAATAGCAAGGACCTGCAACCAAGATTACTCTACCCAGCAAAGCTATCATTTAGAATTGAGGGTCAGATAAAGAGCTTCATAGACAAGAAAAAGCTAAAGGAGTTCATCACCACCAAACCAGTATTACATGAAATGTTGATGGGTACTCTTTAAGAAGAAGGAGATAGAGAAGGAGGAGAAAAAAATAGATGAAAAGATATGAACAATAAAGTTGCAGTAAACATATCTATCAACAATTGAATCTAAAAATCAAAATAAACTAACAAAAAATCTAATGAACAAAATAAACTGAATAATAAAATAGAATCAGAGGCATGGAAACATGGAACAGACTAACAAATCTCAGAGGGAAGTGGGGTGGAGGGGTTGGAAAAGATTAACCGAAGATCTTACATGCATATATACATTACCTGTGGACACAGACAGTAGGGTGGGGAAGGTTTGGGATGGGGCGGGAACCGGGTGTAGAGGAGGAATGGGGAGGGGGAAGGGGAACATCTGTAATACTCTCAGCAATAAAGATTTTTTAAAAATACATACATGCTTAAGATGTTTGGCCTGTATTGTCCGGCTGCCCTCCAGAAGAACTGACTGCATGTCCATGTGAATTTTGAAAGTCTCTCTGTCTGTGTAATGAAACTTTATTAGGAGCCCAGCCAGGCTCCATTCCCAGTGGGGGGAGTGCAGGTGGTAGTCGATCAGTGATTCTCTCTCATCATTGATGTTTCTCTCTCTCTCTCCCTCTTCCTTCCTCCTGAAATCAATAAAAATATTTTTTTTAAAAACTATTAGGACCTTTGAATGTGTGCTACCTCTGCTGGACTATAATATAGCTTCAGTAGAGAAATCTATAATAATAAAAGCATAATATGCTAACTAGACCTGACAAAGCTGAGGCTACGAGGGAAGCCCAGGTCCCAGGTGCTGGAGGAAAGCCGGCAGCCTGGGGAAGGAAGGCCTACTCTTGCACGAATTTCGTGCATCGAGCCTCTAGTATGGTTATAAGACTCAGTAAAGAGAAAGCCAATCTCAGAGCTCAAACAGAAAGGAGTCCTGCTTTGAGTAATTACACAAATAACTTTCCCACCATGTTTTATGTACTGTGAACAACAGAGAAAACTAATAGTTCCCCTGCCTTCAGAAGCGTTGAATCTCCATTGTTACGCTTCAGTCCTCTGTGCCTGTCGAAGGCCAAGCCCTATCTCCAGAAGATATCATTGATAAGAATCGCAGGTTTCAGGTGTAGCCCCGCCAAACACTCAGATAGTGGAAATATACTGATAGTTCGTCCTTGGCCATCACACACATTTTCCCTTGGAAAATGGAATAGACACCACTCAGCCAGAAAAGATGTTTTTCAGGTCATTAAATCTGCAAACATGCCTAAGACATTAAGTAAAAGGATGCTAATTCTGGTGAGTGTGGGGGAGGAGGGACCTTCTTGCGCTCTTTCTTATCTGATGGCATAAAAGGAGATTGTATTGTTTCAAGTACAAACTGGTTTAGACAGTTGATGGCGTATTATTTGATCTTAAAGATCTTTTGAATGAATTATTCTTATGCTTTTCCTTTATTCCATCTCAATCATGTATATCTATTTCCTCAGGGCCCACTGGAGGCCAAGTACTCTTCTAGATAATTTTCTTAATTTTGACATTGTCTGTCTCTCTAATCTCATTTTCCTTTGTCTCTCCACTGGTTTTACTCATAACTTATCAAATAAAGGCTTTTAAAAGACAGAACAGCCCTGGCTGCTGTTGCTCAGTGGTTAGAGCATCAGCCTGAAAACCAGAGGGTGGAGAGTTTGAATCCTGGTCAAGGGCACGTACCTGGGTTGCCAGTTCGATTCCCAGCCCTGGTTGGGCGCATGGGGGAGGCAGCCAATCTGTGTGTCTCTTTCACATTGATGTCTGTTCCCCCACCTCTCTTCCCCTCCCTCCCTCTGCCCCCTCTCTTCTTCCCTCCTCCACTCCCTCCCTTACCCCTTACACTCTCTCTAAAAATATGTGGTAAAATATCCTCAGGTGAGGATTAACAACATCAACAACAAAAGACAAAACAGCCGAAGCCAGTTTGGCTCAGTGGGTAGAGCATCGGCCTGCGGACTGCAGGGTCCCAGGTTCGATTCCGGTCAAGGGTATGTACCTGGGTTGCGGGCGCATCCCCGGTGGGGGGTGTGCAGGAGGCGGCTGGTCGATGTTTCTCTCTCATTGATGTTTCTGACTCTCTATCTCTCTCCCTTCCTCTCTGTAAAAAATCAATAAAATATATTTAAAAAAAAAAGACAAAACAAAGCAAATCGATTAAAAATATTAAATTTTGACAGTCCCAGTCTAAGGAAATAGCTAAGTAAACCTAATAGCTTGGAATATTATGTAGCCCCAAAGAATTCGTAATAACATGGGGGTAATGGTCATACTATAATAAGTTAAATCAAATGCAAAATTATACACGTAGTGTGAATCCAACTGCGTTTTACAGCATAAGGAAAAGACCAGATGAGGCAGACCAGATTGTTGTTGTGTTCACTGGCGGTAGGTCATGGGTGATTTGCCTGCTTTCTTCCTACTTTTCAGATTTTCTTCAGATTCTTATAATGGGCATAAAAATAGAGGGGGAAGTATACTTCAAATACTAACAAAATATTTTGTATCTTTTTTGTTGGTTTGTTTTTTAATCCTCAACCGAGGATATATTTTTCCCCATTGATTTTTAGAAAGAGTGAAAGGAGGGAGGGAGGGAGGGAGGAAGGAAGGGAGAGAGAGAAAAGAACATCAATATGAGAAAGACACTTCAAATAGTTGCCTCCTGCACACAACCTGGCCAGGGATTGGACCCACAACTCAAGCACATGCTTTGACCAGGATGTCAAATCTGAGACCCTTCAGTCCTCAGGCGATGCTCTAATCACTGAGTGCACCTGCCAGGGCTCTGTTTTTTGTTTTTTTAGACTACAAGATGTAGAGATAAGGATTTAATCATTTAACTGTTAAATCCTGATCACTCACTATTGAAGAGGGGAAGTATAGAAGAGAGGACACTGAATTGTGTATATAGTTTTGGACTCATACTAAAATATAAGTAATACTTGAATTTATATACAAACTAGGGGCCCGGTGCATGAATTTGTGCATGGGTGGGATCCGGCCAGCCTGCCCCTATTGGGGTGGGGGGGCCAATCGGGGGTGAGGCCGGCTGGGGGGAGGGGCTGTGGGCAGTTGGCAAGCTGGCTTCGCCCCCTGGTTGAACTCCTGGTCGAGGGGACAATTTGCATATTAGCCTTTTATTATATAGGATGTCTGAGTTGTTTATTAGCATTTGCTATAAATATGTGGGTCAGATTTAGTAAGATAATACATAATAAATCATAAGTAATCAGTAATCTCAGGAGTAGATTCCAAACCAGTGGATCATCCTGCAGTGTTCTGATTGACATGTTCTGTGGTCACTTGGTTAGTGTGTGCCAGTTTACGAGGTAATGTGTTTAGTAGGGGGATGCATGTGCGAAAGAGTGTATGGAACTTGTTATTTACGCTTGGTCATTGAAACTTGTCCAATCTTACTTTAGGAGAATGACATCTTCCTGGGCTGGGAAAAAGGAGCTTACAAGAAATGGGGAAAGAGTAAGAAGAAGTGCTCAGATCTCACTCTGGAAGAGATGAAAAAACAGGCTGCTGTCCAGTGTCTTCGATCTGCATCTGATGAAGTAAGTTTATATTTTATTTCTGAAAAGGGGTGTTTAAATGTTTACAAGTATAACATCTTGACTCAAACAAACCTTAGAAAAATTATCTACTCGTTATCTTACCACTGTAACATAAACGTTATTATATTTTTCTTTATGGCATTTATATAATGTGTTCTTTTATATGTATCATTGTAATTAGAGTATACACAAAAATGTTATATCCTTTTCTCCATTTAACATATAGAACATCTTGTTAATATATATCTTTATTCTTTTTAGTGGCTAAGTTATATTTCATGAAATAATATCCCAACAACAATATAATATACTTCTTTTTTTTTAAAATATATTTTATTGATTTTTTACAGAGAGAAAGGGAGAGAGATAGAGAGTTAGAAACATCGATGGGAGAGAAACATCGATCAGCTGCCTCCTGCACATCCCCCACTGGGGATGTGCCCGCAACCCAGGTACATGCCCTTGACCGGAATCGAACCTGGGACCTTTCAGTCCGCAGGCCGACGCTCTATCCACTGAGCCAAACCGGTTTCGGCAACAATATAATATACTTCTTATTGCTGGATATTTATCTTACTCTTGATTGTATTTTTTGTTATGCTCTCCAGGATATTTTCATGTGTGACTTTTTCCTTGGTTTATATTATTTCTTTTTTAAAAAAATCTTTACCCAAAGATATATACATATATTTTTAAAAATATTACTGATTTTAGAGAGAGGAGGGGAGAGGGAGAGACAGAAACATCCTTAAGAAACATCTCTAATCAGCTGCCTCCTGCACTCCCCCTGCTGGGGGTCAAGTCCACAACCTGGGCATGTGCCCTGACTGGGATTTGAACCAGTGACCTCTTGGTTCATAGGTCAGTGCTCAACCACTGATTCACACTGGCTGGCTCAGGATATGTTTTTTTAAAATATACTTTTATTGATTTCAGAGAGGATGGAAGAGGAGAGATAGAAACATCAATGATGAGAGAGAATCATTGATTGGCTGCTTCCTGCTCCTCCCCCACTGGGGATGGAGCCCACAACCCAGGCATGTGTTCTTGACTGGAATCGAACCTAGGACCCTTCAGTCCACAGGCTGACGCTCTGTCCACTGAGCCAAACCAGCTAGGGTGAGGATATATTTTTATTGCTTTTAAGAGAGAGAGAAACATCTATGTGAGAGAGAAACATTGATCAGTTGCCTCCCATATGCACCCTGACTAGGGATCGACTGGCAATGTTTTAGTGCACGGGATGATGCTCTAACCCAGTGGTTGGCAAACTGCGGCTCGCGAGCCACATGCGGCTCTTTGGCCCCTTGAGTGTGGCTCTTCTACAAAATATCATGTGCGGGCGCGCACGTACAGTGCGATTGAAACTTCGTGGCTCATGCACAGAAGTCAATATTTTGTGGAAGAGCCACACTCAAGGGGCCAAAGAGCCGCATGTGGCTCGCGAGCTGTAGTTTGCCAACCACTGCTCTAACCATTTGAGCCACCCGGCCAGGGCTATATAACTTCTTTTGTATATATTTCTAGAAGTAGAATAACAGTTATCTAACATTTTAAAAACACTGTATTTGCTTCTGATTTATAAATTTTTGTTTGTATATTAGAAAATATTATGATTATTTTCTTAATCTTTTAACATTTCATATAAAATACTTCTCTCTTCCTTCAACATTCTGAAATAACAAAATAATTTTAGAATGTAATCATTTATTTAAATTAGTACTATTAATTCTTGTTTTATTACACACTGTATGATACAATCTCTGAGATCACAATTACTTAGAAAATTATTTTGCTTTACCATTGAGGTAGTGTAAAATTACCTTTATAATGCAAAAGTAAATGGTTAGAAAAAGCAGTTCTCAAGTGGTAGAATGTTAGCATTTTTTCCACCTTCAGCGAGTTCTCACTAAAAATGGGTATAATTTATTTTATTTCTTAAGTTACTCTAGGCTTTCAATATTCTTTTTTTCCCCCGTACTTTATATTGTTTCATTGAATGATTTATCTGTTCACGCACCAATGCCTCAGTATTTTACTTTATGGTATTTTTTTTTAATTGATTTCAGAGAGGAAGGGAGGGAGGGAGGGAGGGAGGGGGGGGGAGAGAGAGAGAGAAACATCAATGATGAGAGAATCATTGATTGGCTGCCTCCTGCCCGCCCCCCACTGGGGATCGAGCCCAGGCATGTGCCCTTGACCAGAATCAAACCTGGGACGCTTCAGTCTGCAGGCTGACACTCTATCCACTGAGCCAAACCAGCTAGGGCTACTTTGTAATTATGTCTGTTATTTTTGTTTGGTAGTATTCCATATTTCTTTCCTCCGTTATCCCCACTCCCCCCAATCTCTCTCTCTTGAATTTATATACAATTAATTTCAGAGAAGAAGGAAGAGGGAGAGAGAGATAGAAACATCGATGATGAGAGAGAATCATTGATCGGCTGCCTCCTGCATGCTCCACATTGGGGACCGAGCCCACAAGCCGGGCATGTGCCCTGACCGGGAGTTGAACCATGACCTCCTGGTTCATAGGTCAACGTTCCACCACGAGCCATGCGGGTTGTTGCCTCTTTTTTTAAGCTGTGTGTCCTGGTGTGGGATTTTTGTGTGTGGTTACCATTAGGTTTGTAGAAAATAAAGTTGCATGTAGTACCGTAGCATTCTTTTTCTTTTGAGTGCATCTGATCTTCATCTTCCTTTGCCAGTTCAGATTTCTATGCCCTTCCCTTTTATGTTTTTGTTGCCACAAATTATTCCTGTTTATGCTGTAAGTTTTTGGGTGATGTTATTCGTAGTGTTGTGATCTAATGGTCTTTATTTCAGGTAGAATAACTCCCTTGAATATTTCCTGTAATGGAGGTTTTCTGGTGATAAAGTTCCTCAGCTTCTGTATGTCTATGTCTGAGAATGTCTTTATTTCTCCACATTTAAAGGATAATTTTACTGGATATATTACTCATGGCTGGTAATGTCTCTCTGACGTTTGCATATTTGGTTCCACTCTCTTCTGGCTTGTAGAGTTTCTGCTGAGAAGGATGAAATTCCGATAGGTCTTTCTTTGTAGGTCACTTCCTTCTTTTTCCCTGTCTGCTTTGAGAATTGTTTTGTTGTCACTAATTTTTGGCAGCTTTAATACCAAGTGCCTTGGAGAGAGCCTCTTGGGATTGAGGTAACTAGGTGTTCTGTTTGCTTCTTGGATTTGAGGCTTTAATTCTTTCCATAGGTTTGGGAAGTTCTCACGCACTGTTGTTTGAATAGACTGTCCTTCCATGCTCCCTCTCTTCCTCCTGCAGAATTCCTGTAATTCTGATGTTGCTTTTTCTGATGGAGTCAGATAGTGCTTGTAGAGCTCTTCCATTTTTCTCTATGTCCAGGTGTCTCTCCTTCCCTCTGCGTCATTTCTAGACCCTGCCTTCGCCGTCACTATTCTTCCTCCATCTGGTTGGCTCTGTTTTCTATCTCAGTAGTTCACTCTTTTTTTCTTTTTTTTTTAATATATTTTATTGATTTTTCACAGAGAGGAAGGGAGAGAGATAGAGAGTTAGAGACATCGATGAGAGAGAAACATCGATCAGCTGCCTCCTGCACATCTCCCCCTGGGGATGTGCCCGCAACCCAGGTACATGCCCCTGACCGGAATCGAACCTGGGACCTTTCAGTCCGCAGGCCGGTGCTCTATCCACTGAGCCACACCGGTCTCGGCAGTAGTTCCCTCTTAATGTCTTTAATTGCATGCTTCATTTCTGAGCTTTCTGATTGGTTCTTTTTAAGTTTTAATCTCTTCGGTAAAGTACTCGTTTTGTTCATTGATCTGCTCTCTGAGTGCATTGAATTGCCTGTCTATTTTCTTGCATCTTGTTGATTATTTTCAGAACTGCCATCTTGAAATCTCTGTCATTTATATCACACATTTCCATGTGTTCCAGCTTGCTTTCTGGGGAGTTTTCATTTTCTTTCTGATCATCCTTGTTACTGTGGTTATTCATGGTATTTGGTTCTTTGCTTAGTGAGGTCTTTGCATTTGTGTCTACATTAACGAAGAGGTCTTTCTACTGCGTTCCCGTAGATGGTGCTGAATCGCAAGGCTTTTCACTCTGTGACCTCCTAGTCCGGCGGTTCTCCACCTTCCCAATGCCGCGGCCCTTTAATACAGTTCCTCATGTTGTGGTGACCCCCACCATAAAGTTGTTTTCGTGGCTACTTCATAACTTTAATGTTGCTACTTTATGAATCGTCATGTAAATATCTGATATGCAGGATGGCCTTAGGCGACCCCTGTGAAAGGGTCGTTTGACCCCCAAAGGGGTTGCGACCCACAGGTTGAGAACCGCTGCACCTAATCTTAACCTCCACAGCTTCCTAAGACACTCTGCTTGGTGGGGTTTGCTTTACTTTCACTGTCATGGCGACCCCTGACCTCCATGGTGCCCCAAGCACCCCTTCTGGGCATCAGTCACAGGGGGAAACCGCAGCAGCTCCTGGTTTACAGATAACAGGCTCCTGCACCCAACTGCACGGGCAGCAGGAGGCGAGGTGTGGGAGTTCAAGCAGGGCAGGGCTCTGTGGTCTGCTTTTGTTTGAAACACTGCCGCCTTGCCTGACAGTGGAGAGCCACACGCAGAACCCTGTGCTCTGCCAGGCGTCTCCGACCCAGACACTGTTCGCTCCCCTGCAGCTCGCCCTGCTGGGCTGCCATCTGCGCTCCCTCCCTTTTCCTCTCGTTTATTCCCGGGTGCCCGCCTTGATGTTTCAGTGCGCGGGTCTCTCAGGTGTGCATCTGTGCTGAGCAGGGGTGTTTTTGTTGAATTATAGTTGGTTAACTTGTTGGCATTTCAGTGGGAGAGGCCAAGGGCTCTCTCACACCGCCATTCCTCTGATGTCACTCTCTCATTCTTGAATGCCCTGTGGATGTGGCATACTATTAAAATGTAATTTTTAAGATTATATAATAGTTTATATTATAATTGGGAAAGCAAATAAAATTTCTCATTAACAGCTCCAAATTAACAATTTGGAGCACCTGCCAGGAGGGAGGGGACGATGCCCTTTTTGCTTCTCACTTGCTATTCCGATAGCCCAGGGGTCGAATGATTAACATGCGCGCGCACACACACGCATGCGCACACACACACACACACACACGCACGTAGGATGCTGTGATGGTCAAGGACAGGAAGCAGACGCCGGTGGGTCAAGCTTGCTTTCTCTTTTTTTAAATATATTTTCATTGATTTCAGAGAGGTAGGGAGAGGGGAGAGAGATAGAAATATCAATGATGAGAGAGAATCATTGATCGGCTGCTTCCTGCACATGCCTCACTGGGGATCGAGCCCGCAACCTGCGCCTGTGCCCTTGACTGGAATCGAACCCAGGACCCTGCAGTCTGCAGGCCGATGTTCTATCCAGTGAGCCAAACCAGCTAGGGCTAGAGCTTGCTTTTAGACACAGAGCTAAGCAGTAAGTTCCTTGTTTCTTGGCCATTAAATAATGAGAGCAAATCTATATACTTCTCTGTTGTATTACTATCCAGGACAACTAAATCACAGGTGTGTGGAGGAGACAAAGAACGAGAGAGAATATCTAGTCCCAGGTTGTGTAACGGTTGTAGCGTGCAGACTGTTGAACAGTCAGCAGCCTTGGTGCTGAAGGCAGAGGCAGAGGCGACGCCTGAGGCTCGGAGCTCTGCCCTGGGACTGGCACTGGCTTCAGAAACATAGTGACATAGGCTTGTGTGCAGAGCAGCGTGCAGCAGCGCGTGTCAGCTGACGCTGGGGTTAGGTTCAGGATCTGGAGGAAGTGGAATAAAACGGCCAGCTCATCCCACCTTGGACATTATGGTAAGCAGTCTTCCCGGTGGCAGTGTGCAGGAGGAGCGGTGTTTATGACTGGTCGCTGCCATGGTCTGTAAGAGTGTTTTTAAGGAAAGAATAATTCTCTTTTGGCCCGTTTCCTGGTCTCCCTCCGTCCTGTCTCCCTAGTGAAAGCGGTGAACTGATGTGGATAGAATTAATTATCGTTTACAATTAACTGTTTCCATGTAATCTTGCTGCTTAAACTGCTCAAGCTGTGGAACGCCCGTGTTTCTTGCTTAGGATGTCGGTAAAACTTGTGCTGAGTCATTTTGCGTGAAGTCAGTGGGGCGAAGTTCTATTTTTAGCCCCTGCAGGCCCAGGAGGGCGAGGGGGGAGCAGTCCCGTGCACCTGTTCGGTGCTGCCCACCTAGAGAGACTCAATCCCGTCTAAATACTTTCGGCCACAGAATAAGTACAAGGTTGCTACGAAATACACTCACTTTTCTTGTATCTGGTGAAAGACTTTTCTTTCCTCTAGTGAGAAATAGAATTTTTAAAGTTTAAAAGTCTACATAAGTAAAAGATTTTTTGCTCGTGCCTGTTGGCAACATTCATTTTTCTTTAAAGGTTGCCTCTTATTCTTACCCTCCCAATTTCAGACACTTCACGCTCTCTCCTCCCGTTTGACCCTGTTTCTGCACAGAGACTAGGATCTGGTCCATGACCCTTAAAGGGAAATGGCGACAGGGCCGGCCTGCTCTCTGTGCTGCTCCTCATGGCGGTCATGAGGGCTCGTTTCAGAAAGAAAAATCAGACCATGAGCTCCTCAGGGACTCAGATGAACTTTTTGTGATTTTTCTTTTTAAATAACTGATGTGTTTTCTTTTTCTTTTTAAATTGATTTTAGAGAGAGGACGGGGGAGAGAAAGAGAAGGAGAGAGAAACATCAGTTGGTTGCTCCCTCACAGGTCCCAATCAGGGACCACAACCTGGGTATGCGCCCTGACCAGAAACCAAACCCTCTGGTATGTGGGGCGAGCCACCCGGTCAGGGCTGTGGTTTTTCTTTATATTGAACTAGAGGCCCGGTGCACAAAATTTGCTCACTGGCGGCAGGTGGGGGAGTCGTCCCCTCAGCCTGGCCTGCACCCTCTCACAGTCTGGGAGCCCCGCGATCAATTGCCCTGAAGAGGTAGGTCCTGCCTATCTGGCCTGGGCTCCGCAATGGATCACTCCCACAGAGGTAGGCCCAGGCTACCTGCCACAGCGCCGCCAGCCAGCTAGCCTGGGCCTCCTACTTTGGGGCAATCGCGGAGCCCCCCGATTGATCGCCCTGCCAGCTGATGTCTTGGGTCTCCCTCTGCGGGGTGATCATGGGGCAATGGCCGGGCCCCCAGCCAATCGCATTACACCTGCCTTGGCTGGCCTGGAGCCAGTGGGTGTCATAGCGTGGTTGTCTGGATGGTCCGGATGGTCATTCTGCTGTTAGGCCATTCGGTCGATTTGCATATTATGCTTTTACTAGAGGCCTGTTGCAGGAAGATTCCTGCAAGAATAGGGCTTCCTCGGGCCAATTGAGCCACCAAGCCCCGCCACCCAGGGCCGCACATGGGGGCCCGGATGGCTGCTCGTGCTGGCCCGCCCTGCCTGCCATATGCAAAGCAGCCGCCATGTTTGTTGGCGGTTAATTTGCATATCGCTCTGATTGGCTGATGGGTGTAGCGAAGGGATGGTCAATTAGCATCTTTGTCTTTTATTAGATGTGCTTTTATTATTATAGATTTAGTATAAGACCTTGCTGACATAGGCAGGGACTAGGATGCTGACTTTAGCTGTGCAAGGGCACTTAGGCCCTTTGGCTGCCCCGTCAGCAGGATGCTGTACCCCTGGGAAGACAGAAGTGACTTTTCTCAGTGAGTGCCATTGGATAGACTTAATTAGGAAAACATGGATACTGAATTGGATCTACAGATGCATAATTTTTAAACTTTTGTGTTCACTTAAATATTGATAATGTCTTTCTTTTGGAACATGAAAAATTAATTTCTTTATAAAACCTTCATATTAAAGCAAAAGAGTACAAATACCTGGTTTTTACATACCCGGCAGCAAACGAATGTGTGTTTTTGTTCCCACGCAGAGCTCTGGAATCGAGACGTTAGTGGAGGAGCTCTGCTCCCGCCTAAAAGACCTGCAGAGCAAGCAAGGTGAGTGCTGCCTCCAGGCCTGTCTGTGCAGGCACAATAGTCACCAAGGAGGCGGGGGGTGATCTTAGGATGGAGCCAGCAAGAACCACAGCGGGGGAGAGTCTGTTCAGTGTGTCTCCAGGCGAGCGTGGGTCAGCCCTCCGCTGTCACCTGTAGGGAGCCCCCTGCTGCTGAGTGCATTGGCCCACAGGTGCCCTCGGAGAGAGGAGCAGCACGTCTCCTCCTGTCCTTGTGCCCTGCTGATACCTCCCTGTTGACACCAGGCCTTCTTAATTAGGTGTCAACACTAAGTACCTCAGATTTGGAAGAACTTCTACTTTGACTCTTGAATTTTGGGGGGAAGGCAGGCTTGACAACCTCAATAAGCCATTTTGACTCAAGAACCCTTATCACGTTTTTTCCCCACTTTTCTGTAAGCCCATCCTAAGATTAAGGACCTTTATTTTCCTTGTCCTCTTCATGCTCATTTTGCTGCCCACCAAGTCTTGACCTTCCTATTAAGGGCGTGGTTGGTTCATTCGTGTTGAATTCCTGGCAGGATCATGAGCTAATCTAAGGGAATAGCCCTTCGATTCTGTTTTAGTGGAAACACAGCCCTTGGCCTTCTGGATGTTAAGGGACGGATTGCGAATTGTAATTAAGAATTTTCTGTGCAGATTAACATCAGTCAAGGTGATTCGGTATAGAAAGTCCATGAGTGCAGAATTTTGAGAGAAAATAGTTTTGGAATCTAAACAGATGTTCTGTCTTTCTGGTGTAATTAACAAGTACCCAGGGGATTTCAGTTTCTCAGTCAGGTGCCTCCAGAGCGCTGGCTTGGTGATGAGACGAACAGGTCTCGCCTCAGCCGTGTTCACAGGGTGTAGCCAGAGACTTCCCCTGGTACACTGAAGAAAAAAGTTGTTATTACAAAGATAAACTGCCACAAAAGCCTATATAATTTCTATTAAAGTTTGAGAAATTTTTAAAAACATGACAAAACTTTCTAAATTTTGTTTCACAACAGAAGAGAAGATTCACAAAAAGTTAGAAGGGTGTCCCTCTCCAGAGGCAGAATTATCCCCGACAGCAAAGGATCAAGTGGAAATGTATGTAAGACTCAGTCACAGAGTGTGCATTTGTTAAATTCAGAGTAAGAATTACTGCATGGTTTACAGTCTTGCTCATCGTCTTGTATGTAGTTTTATATTTTATAATTCAGGGAACATGGAGCACTTACTTGCATATTTGACACAGAATTCAAAGGTGAATAAGGTTCTGTCCTTAAATTACATATTGAATCAGTCTTTGTGCAGCGAATGAATGAAACAAGTCTGTTATTTGCCGTCCATTCATGTCCTGTGACCATGGACATTCCCACTGTCTTCGGAGGCAGCTGAAAGGAGCCATGCACATCCTTGTTGCCCACACAGGAAACAGGTGCCCACTGCTGGCTCCAGAGGGAACGGCGAGTCATGGGCCTCGCCACACTTGTTTGCCGAAGACACTTTAGTTCTTTCTTTGTAAGTGGTTAGTGTTAAAATCAGCTGCGTTACCAGCAGACTTCTTTATTACACATTGTATTTGGGTCTTCTGAACGTCTGAAACTTAAGGAAAGAGGAGCGTGTGGTTGGTTTGTGTAACCCTGCGCTGTCCACCGTGGTGGCCCCAGTCACATGCGGCTGTTGCGCCCTTGAAATGTGGCCACTTCAGAATGAGACGTACTGGGAATATAAATTCCAGCAGATCTCAGAACTTCTGTGTAAAAAAGAATGTAAACTATCCTAGTAATATCTCTTAGTATCAATTACATGTTGAAATGATGTTATTTATCATGGTTATATTTGGTTCAGTAAAATATATTATTGAAATTAATTTCACCTGTTTTCTTCTTATGCTTTCAATGAGCCTCCTAGAACATTAAAAAATACATTGAGGCATACAGTATGTTTCTCTTAGCTCTGCTGCGGACTGAGCAGGTCCCTTCATGAGCGTGGCCTTTCGCTGCTTCATGTGTGACCTGGGCAGCCGCCTGCACCTGGAGGCTCCTTCTAGCATCTGCTCGCTGTGAACTCTCTGGGGCTCCTAGTTTCCTAGCAACCGAGAGCTCATCTCCCACTTTCCCGGCCTCTAAAGCCTGCCTCTCGAGGTCCATCCTCACCGTAGGGTTGCTGTCGAAGCAGGCTCCAGGCCGGACCCATCTGCATCCCCAGGGCCCTGCACCTCTCAGTGTCCTCACTGCACTGCTGCATGTCTGGGCCGTGAAGGCGCCCTGCGGTCCACCTGCTCTCATTGTCCTTTCTGCACGCTTGCCTACCGCAACCCCTGCTAATTCTGAGGGTCTCCTTAATGCCGGCGCTGCGCTCTCCTGAGAAAAAGCACGGCAACACTCACTCAGGAAGATGCTGTCAGGACTCATTTCACAGGCGAGTTCCTTTACTCCTCACAGCTCGGGGAGGTAGACACCTTTCTTACGTGACATGCTTGAGGCCACACAGCTAGAAATCAGCAGTCAGGACTTGAATCAGGAAGTGTGGCTTCAGAGTGTATGCTCTCACCTGCTTGACTATACAGCTTTCCAACTGCATCCACTCCCGGCCTCACAAAGCCTGTGAGGTTAGTCATGTCATCTCCATTCCACAGCTGAGGAAGTGTGGCCATGGCATAAATTAGCAGCTGTAAGCCGCGGCGTAGTGAGTCTGAGCTGAGAATGACATTCAGGTATCTCTTATCGAAAGATTACATTTTCTATGTCATATTTTTCACTTACGGCTTCTTAGTTAAAATTCAGACTTTGAAGATAAAAACTGTCATTTTACATGTTTTAATATTCTTATAATGCTTATCTCGGTTCTTTGTACATTGGACTAAATGTAAAGGCTATTTTACTGTGTTACTAATTATTTAAAAGTTAATGATTCATGGGTAATGCAACCATTGACTGTTAAAATGAATATCCCAGGCTTCCGTTTGGTAATGTTTACTATGGCTAATACATCTCAGTGCCCCTTCCGAACTCTTTGCGCTGTTTTGCAGGTACTACGAAGCATTTCCCCCGCTTTCGGAGAAGCCAGTTTGCCTGCAAGAGATCATGACCGTGTGGAACAAGTCTAAAGTCTGCTCTTCCTCCAGCTCCTCGTCATCGTCCACCGCGCCCCCAGCCAGCACAGACACGGCTTCCCCCAAGGACTGCAACAGTGAGGGCGAGGCCAGCAGGGACAGGGGCGAGGCAGTGCCCACCGCTGTACACGCACAAACCCTGAGCAGAAGTAAAAATGAGAAGGAGAACAAATTTGGGAACGGCACAATTGAAGAGAAGCCTGCTTTGTACAAAAAACAAATGCGACACAAACCCGAAGGCAAGGTCCGCCCTCGCTCCTGGTCCTCCGGCTCCAGTGAGGCAGGCTCCAGCTCGAGCGGGAATCAGGGAGAACTAAAAGCATCCATGAAGTGCGTGAAAGTAAGACACAAGGCGCGAGACCTCCGAAACAGGAAAGGGCGGAATGGGCAGAGCAGGCTCTCGCTGAAGCATGGCGAGAGGGCCGAAAGGATCACCCACGTGGGCGGCGGCGGCAGCAGCAGCAGTGGCGGCTCTGGCAGGCAGCTGTGCAGGCGAGCGAAGAGACCATTGAAGGAGGTGGGCAGGAGGGACGCGGACGGCGCGGAGGGCAGAGACCTGCACCTGGACAGCAGAAACGACAAGGAATACAAAGAAGAGCCACTGTGGTACACCGAACCGATTGCAGAATATTTCGTTCCTTTGAGCAGGAAAAGTAAACTAGAGACCACGTACCGAAACCAACAGGATGCGCGGGATCCGACCGCAGAGGCGATAGGAGAATTGTCTGACTCAGTGCACGGTCTTTGTATCAGCAACAGTAACATTCATAAAGCATACCTCCCAGCGGGTACTTTCATCGATGGTCACTTTGTAGAAATGCCTGCGGTTATAAATGAGGAGGTTGACCTCCCTGGGACCTCATTCTGTTCTCTCCCGGAGGACAACAGCTACTTGGATGATATTCATCTGTCAGAGTTAACACACTTCTATGAAGTGGACATTGACCAATCCATGTTGGATCCTGGTGCCTCAGAAACAATGCAAGGAGAAAGTCGGATTTTGAATATGATTCGACAAAAAAGCAAAGAGAGAAGTGATTTTGAGGCAGAATGTTGCATAGTGTTAGATGGGATGGAGTTGCAAGGGGAACGTGCAATATGGACAGATTCCACCAGCTCCGCGGCCGCCGAGGGCCAGTTCCTGCAGGGCCTGGGCAACCTGGCGCAGTTCTGGGAGTGCTGCTCGTCCAGCTCCGGGGATGCCGACGGCGAGAGCTTCGGGGGAGAGTCTCCGATCAGGCTCTCTCCCATCTTAGACAGCGCAGCCCTCGACCCGCATCTGCTTGCCGGCAATCAAGAGCTCTTCTCAGATATTAATGAAGGATCTGGTATAAACTCTTGTTTTTCAGTGTTTGAAGTGCAATGCAGTAATTCTGTTCTACCATTTTCTTTTGAAACACTCAACTTGGGGAATGAAAATACAGATTCTAGTGTGAACACACTCGGGAAAACACAGTCCAGGTTGCTAATATGGACCAGAAATAGTGCCTTTGAAGAAAATGAACACTGTTCTAATCTTTCCACAAGAACCTGTAGCCCATGGTCCCATTCAGAAGAAACACGTTCGGACAATGAGACGTTAAGTCTCCAGTTGGAAGAATCCACGCAGTTTAACGCAGAAGATGTTAATTATGTGGTTCCTAGAGTCTCGTCAAATTATGTAGATGAAGAACTTCTAGATTTTTTGCAAGATGAAACTTGCCAACAAAACAGTAGAACTTTAGGAGAAATTCCCACGTTAGTTTTAAAAAAAAAATCGAAACTAGAATCTGTCTGTGGTATTCAGCTCGAACAAAAACCAGAGAACAAAACCTTTGAACCTACGCACGTGCGTTGTGGGAGCAGCCCCGGTGGAGACGGCTACGGGCCAGGGGTCATTAAAGACATCTGGACACAGCTGGCGGAGAGGAACTCCGTGGCGCTGGTGGAAGTCGAAGGAGCTGCTGATGAGCTGTTCTCGACAGACGTGAATAACTATTGCTGCTGTCTGGACGCTGAAGACGAGGGGGAGCCGCTCCGGGAGCCCAGCAAGGCCGTGCAGCGGTCGGAGTACCACCTGTGGGAGGGGCAGAAGGAAAACCTGGAGAAACGCGCCTTTGTTTCGGGCGAGCTGTCCAAGGTGGACGGTGGCGACTACACCACACCCTCCAAGCCTTGGGACGTGGCCCAGGAGAAGGAGAACGCCTTCATTCTCGGGGGCGTGTACGGAGAACTGAAGACCTTCAGCAGCGACGGGGAGTGGGCGGTGGTGCCGCCCAGCCACGCGAAGGGAAGCCTGCTGCAGTGCGCGGCCTCCGACGTGGTGACCATCGCCGGCACGGACGTCTTCATGACGCCGGGGAACAGCTTCGCTCCCGGCCACCGGCAGCTGTGGAAGCCCCTCGTGGCGCTGGAGCAGAGCGACCCGCCGAGGACGGGGGAGGGCGGGTTAAATAAGGGGTTTTCCTTTGTCTTCCATGAAGACTTCCTGGGAGCTTGTGGCAACTTTCAAGTTGAAGATCCTGGACTCGAGTATTCGTTCTCTTCCTTCGACTTGAACAATCCGTTTTCCCAAGTTCTTCACGTGGAGTGCTCCTTTGAGCCCGAAGGGATTGCGTCTTTCAGCCCTGGTTTCAAGCCGAAGTCCATCCTCTGCTCCGACTCCGACAGTGATGTGTTCCACCCCAGGATCTGCGGCGTCGACAGAACCCAGTACAGGGCCATTCGGATCTCGCCTAGGACTCACTTCCGCCCCATTTCCGCATCTGAACTGTCCCCTGGAGCGGGGAGCGAGTCCGAGTTTGAGTCTGAGAAAGACGAAGCCAGTCTCCCCGTTCCTCCTCAGGTTGATGCGTTCGAAGATCCACAGGCAGATCTCAAGCCCCTGGAAGAAGATGCGCAGAAAGAAGGCCATTACTACGGGAAGTCGGAACTGGAGTCGGGGAAGTTCCTGCCCCGGCTGAAGAAGTCGGGGATGGAGAAGAGCGCGCAGACGTCCCTGGATGCGCAGGAGGAGCCGGCGGGGAAGCAGGCCCAGTGCCTGGAGTGCAGCGGGAGCGAGCCCCTGGGCACCGGAGTGGAAAGCTCAGAGGCAAATTGTAAAATAATGGCCCCGTGTGAGGAAGACACTGATCATTTCTGCAGTTGCAAAGCAGGTTGTCAGTTCCCTGCCTATGAAGATAACCCGGTTCCTTCCGGACAGCTGGAGGAGGTATGTGTCTATGTGTGGGTGTCCATAAAGGGGTTTGACAGACTGTACCCCAAGAACAGGCAAGGAACGATGGTGGTAAGTTATTGAGGAATGTGCGTAACTGTCTTAAAATTGATCATCCTTATGGTTTTACATAAGGACTTAAAATGGACTTGATGTTTATAAACTTAAACTAGACATTTTATGCAGAGAAAAGACATTTAAAAATAAATCAGTGGGTCTGAGGTTCTCATGTGTTGTCTTAACATGCATGTATTATGCTTAAAGCAAAACCTAATATATAAGCATTACAGCTTTCAAAGTTGATGAATCAGAGAGCACCAGGTGCTAGAACAGGGGGTCAGACCACCTCGGTACTTGAGTTCTGGGTAAGAAAGAATTCAGAGCCAAGACTCAACCTATAAGAGAACATTTATTTAGAAAATCACAGAGGTAGAAGTCATTTGTAGAAGAAATGTGCTTAGGAAACAAGTTATAGAGGGAAAGAAAGGGCCCTTGGAGCTGAGAAGTGAGGAAGGTGAAGGTGTCATGCTTGCAGGGAGAGGGAGGGGAGGGGAACGGCACAGCCGTGCTCCTGGGGAGAATGTGCTGGGTCCGAATCCTAAGGCTTTAAGGGTGGAGAGTGTAGGGAGGGCCCAGGGGACGATCTCAGTAGCATATGCAGCAGTTTTCCAGGTGGGTCCTTCAGGGTCAGGGTTTCCACTGATTGATTGGCGCCGGGGCAGGGGCTCATTATCTAATGCAGCTGGTTCTGAGGGCAGCCATGGGGTTGATTGACTGACTGTGCTGCTTTTCTGGTCCTGAAGCTAAAATACACTGAGCCCTAGATGTTAGCCTAGGTAGGGAAGGTCAGGGGTCTAAACTGGATGATCAGAGACATGAAAGGTCAGGCGGTCCAAACCGCATGAGCAGCGTATGCGAGGGGAGGAAAGCTCACCCTACAGTTGTCCGTTGCCAAGCCCCCGGGCTTTCCGCCCTGGTGGCCTTCTGTAGCTGGCCCGTCGTCCTCACTCTGCCCATGTCTAACTGCCCTCCACACTGCTCTTCAGAAGCAGCAGCGGTCCATCTAACTGCCCCTGCAGCATTGAAATCGGGGGACCTGTGTAGCGTTCTCTGCAGTCCATTTGCTACGTGTAAAAACTAGCCCACAGCCCATGTGCAACCCAGCAGCTTCCACAGAACCTCTGCGCAGGCACCTCAGCTCACCCCAGCGCAGGTTCCCGAAGTGACGAGTGAGAGCAGGAGCCACTTAATGGGAGCCACTGTCCCCTCTGTGCTCCTAGGAGTGCTAGAGCTTAAATTAATTGTCCAAGAAATACCACTTAAAGCAATCACCTGCTTCCCAAGAGCACAGTGGTCTGCCCACTCCGGCCAGCATTCGGTGGAGCAGCACCTGGCTTGCAGGAGCAGCTGCTGAGAGGCGCTGCAGGTGGTGAGGAGCCATCACACCTGCGCCCGGGAGCAGCCGCGAGTCACCTTCCTCCCATGTGTCCTGCGCACTCCACCACCGTTGGCACATCCAAGTCCTCCCCGTGCCGGAGCCCTCAGACCCCTCCTCCTTCCCTGGCGCATTCCCTAGTTCCTCTCGCCTCTCCCACTCCACTCCCCCGCCCCATCAGAAGCAGTTCTCTCTGCTCTAATTTTCCCTGCATCACATGCCTCTTTTATTGCATTTTCCATTCTTCATGAGTCACTTCTGTACTTCCTCTCATTAGATTGGAAGCCCCTGTGCATACAGACCGGGTGCCCTCCTCATTTGTCCGTCCCTGCCTGGGTGCATGTGATGGCAGGAAGGCCCCAGATGACAGGAATGCTGCCCTAATCAGCTTGCTGGATGTCCTTAGACCAGTGGTTCTCAACCTTCTGGCCCTTTAAATACAGTTCCTCAGGTTGGGACCCAACCATAAAATTATTTTAGTTGCTACTTCATCACTGTCATGTTGCTACTGTGATGAATCGTCATGTAAATATCTGATATGCAGGATGGTCTTAGGCGACCCCTGTGAAAGGGTCCTTCGACCGCCAAAGGGGTCGCGACCCACAGATTGAGAACGGCTGCCTTCAACTGAATTGAAACACTGAATCTTAACTTGCTGAGAACAAAAACAATGTTGCCCGCCTTTGTTTACTGCCCGCTTTTCGTCCTTAAACATTCCTTTCTGTACTTTGTATCTCACCTGGCTCCAGATTGGGAAGAAAGAAAAGGAGGGGAGAAGCGATTCCACCTCAGCCACTACACTGCCATGTGCCTCGCTTGCTAGTATGTTTATGTATTTCCGTGTTACCAGCGTCTGGGTTGCCTGGAAGGTTATAGCACCAGTGCAGTCCTCAGAGGACATTGCCGGTCGCCTGATAGTGCAGGTGTTGTTGGTACCATCAGCCCTCGTCTCTCGACCGCGGCACCACAGTGCAGAGCTGGTCTGAGCTCACTTCATAGATCCCTGAGGGGTGGAGGGGCCTGAGGGACAGCATGGGGTCGGGCTGGGAGCAGACCCCGGCCTTCCTCTCTCACCACCTGGTCAGCCTCAGAGCTGCTGCAGGGCTCCCCTTCCCTGGGTGAGGACAGGCCACCGACGGCAGCCTGGGCGCCCCATCGTGTCCGAGCACGTGGGCTACACATGCTGGATTTCTAGTAGAATGGGTGCCCAGGAGCATGAACGACTATTTCCCAAAGTTCCCATCAGCAAACATGTATCACATACCTGACTAGGCATTGTCCCTGCCCCCAAGGAAGCCAGTCTAGTCCCAGACCACTTTGTAAGCAGATCACTTATTTTGGTTGAAGTAGGTAATTCATTCATGTGGTTCAAGATCCAAACTTAAAGACGGAGCGGACAGTGAGGGTTCCTCCCCAGCCACAGCCACAGCCACAGCCACAGCCACAGCCACGAGGGGTTCTGGGGTCTCCTCTGAGTGTGTGTTCCGCATTGTATGCAAATATGTGGTCACACCTATTTCCTCCTATTTGTTCTTTTTACTGAAATGGCACTTCATTATAATCCCCCTTCCTCTATTTTCTGCACATGATTCCGTTGTGTGGATGCACCATGATTTGCCCGGCGGGTCCCTTATCTTCAGGTAATTTGAGACCGCATGGTCAGGGGCATGGCGCCAGGAGCACAGGGTGCCCGGGAGCCCAAGGCGAGCCCTCACCCCCCGAGAATCAGGGCGACGTCTTAACAACCTGCGGGCTCAGGCAGAAAGGAGGCAGGCACACAGGCAGGAGGAACAGCATGGGCGAAGGTCAAGGGGCTTGAAACGAACTCCTCACGTGTGCAGGCCCTGCCCGCAGTAGCTCCCGGCTCCTGAGGGCTAGCAGTGTGTGTCGCGGGACACTTGTCACCTGCTTGATTACCATCTTGGTGCCCTGCACTTGGAAGCACAGAACCGAGGCGGGGGCCTGGGCCGTAGAAGGACACATGCGTTTGGCAAAGGTCATAGAGGTCAGATGGTCACTAGACTCCCTGTGGTGACTGCGGCCTCGGTCTGTCCGTGTGAGTAACTGTGTTGTGCAGCTGCAGGAGCTCAGTTCTGGAGAGGAGGCCGTGGGGCAGGCCGTTGGTGGGGGGGGGGGGGGGAGCGGGGGGCGGGGGGCGGCGGCGCCCGGAGCCACTGACCATGTGACCATCCCCGCGGCTGTGCACCGCATGCCCGCAGAGACCTGCAGCCGGTCCCCTGTGGCTGCCGAGGGCACTAGGTCCAGGGGGTAAGCATCTGTCCCAGACCCCCGTCTGAGGGGCAGAGCCGAGTTCTCGCTCTGGTTAGCACTTCCTGTCGGTAAGGGAAACAGACTTCAAGCAGCCAGTGTCGAGTCTCTCAGACTCCAGTCTCTCGTTAGTCCCTGTCGCTCTCTGCTTCTCTTCCCGTACACTTCCTTTTCCTTCTACAGAACAGGTGTATGGGGGCTTTCTTTTCCTTTTGCGGCCCAGATAACAGAACGGACTGTGGCAAAGTCAGTCCCGGAGCACGACTCACAGGAACCCCAGTCCTTCCTCTTCACCAGAACCAGGAACACGCCGCGAGTGTAACGGAGCCTCTGCCCCTTCCAACTGCTGGCATTCCCGAGCGCTGCTCATCGTTGGGCGGGCGGGTCTGGCTCTCTGGGTTCAGTTGGTCTCTCTCTCGCTCTCTTCCCCCCACCCCACCCCGTGAAGAGCCTGTCACGCCGGGTGCTGCTTGGTGCTGGCGCAAGGAACAGCGACTGCACGTTTGCAGGGCCGCGCTCAGTGAGCACGGCCAGTGCTGTGGAGGGGGAGGCTGGGCAAGGCTTGGCGGCCGGAGGAGGAGTGTCCGGAATCAGTCTGGTGGCCGGCAGCTTCAGGAGCGGCCTGGAGGCGGGAGGTGCCCGGCAGGTGTGCCGGCTCGGGCAGGCGGTGTTCTCTTTTCCCCCACTCTCTCTCCATTCCTCTCACTCTCAAACCAGAAGTCGAATTGCTACATTAAACAGACCTCACTTAAGGCACGTTGTCCTCGCTGTGCAGCCTGGAAGGTGCGAAGGGCTCAGCGGGAAGATGGCGTAGAAGGACGCGTATTCGTTTGTTAGAGGTCATAGGTGTCAGATGGTCACTGGCTGTGGCGATCCCGGCCTTGGGTCTGTCCATGTTGTGCCCCTGAGACAAATATAATCTTGTGTATTAGCCACATATTTAAATTGTCTTTATTGACTTTAGAGAAAGGGGGAGAGAGAGAGAGAGAAACATCAATGAGAGAGACATCAGTCATCCCCTCTCCTGCACCCCGCTCCGGGCATCCAGCCGGAAGCCCAGGCTGTGGCCTGACGCGGAACTGACCTGGCGTCCTTTTGGCGCACAGGCCTCCGCTCATCAGCTGCGCCCGGCCCGAGCTTGTTAACCATATTAACAGAATACAAATGAGGAGACAAGGCAGCGGAAACACTAACGCATGTACGTGGATTGTGTGGTCAGTGTAGCATAAACAGGACAAAAAGTCCCTGCCGTTGGGATTGCCACTCTCATGGAGGATGCAAGAGAATTCTTCAAACTGGCAGAAACTGGCACGCTCTTCCCAGTGTTCCGGCACGAGAGGGAGCTTTAGGCGGGCGCCTTCCGCGGGGCCGCAGACGCCCGTACCCGCCTTATGTACACGGCGGCACATGAGCCCTGGCCCTGCCCTCCAGCGCACCGTGCGGCCCACCCGTAGGCGCCTCCGCCTCGCTCCTGCCGACCCAGCTCCTGGGTGGCGCCCGGACCCCCGCAGCCTGCACACCTGGCGCTTTGCTGGCCTCGTTTGCGTGAAGCCTCGCCTGGGCAGTCCCTCCCGCCTTGGCTTCTGTTGCTCGAATCGCAGTGCTGACGTTCGTTGTTAGGGTGAGCTCAGGAGGGGATAGTGGCGGCGAGCTGACACTGGGTGACAGCACAACTTCCATTTCAGATCTAGGCGTATTTCTGGGAAGTTATGTTAAGCAAAAATGAAAGCTGGAAGTGTGTTTCCCTTTTAGTTAAATAATGAAAAACACCCAGTTGCTAAATCAAAAAGTTGTAGGTCCACAAAGTACTTTAAGAGAGTAACAGTCCTGTTAGAGAACTGATGAGTATTAGTTGCTAAAACAGAATTTAAACTTGAACACTAATGAAGGTCTCCTAAAACGATAAAGATGTGCGCAGTGTCCACAGGCCTGTACACTGAGCAGACATCTGTGGAGAGGGCTGGGGCTGTGGGAGGTGAAGACACCAGACCAAGCCTTCCCTGGGGAGAGGGAAGGAGGAGCATGGCGGAGGGTTGCCCTGGCCACCAGCAGCCAGGATGCATGTGGGCACCGCAGCTGCCACAGACGTCTAATTACCACCCACGGACACCTGCTGCCTTTGACCACTGGCCACACTGCCCAGCAGGTGGGCGGGATCTGGCTGGGACCTGAGAGTTGCACTCATCCAGGATGCAGCCTGGATTCAGACTCGTCCCCTCGGGGCCTGGTGCCCTCTGCAGGGCCAGGGAGATGCAGCGAGTGTGTGCCGGTTTCCTGCCCTCAGAGCCCCCCCTCCTCCCCAACTTTCCAAGGCCATGTCCTGGAAATTGGAATTACTCTCAGCATTATTATCGGGTTTTTATTTTTTTATTTTTTTAATATATTTTATTGATTTTTCACAGAGAGGAAGGGAGAGAGATAGAGAGCCAGAAACATCGATGAGAGGGAAACTTCGATCAGCTGCCTCCTGCACACTCCCACTGGGGATGTGCACGCAACCCAGGTACATGCCCTTGACCGGAATCGAACCCGGGACCTCTCAGTCCACAGACCGACGCTCTATCCACTGAGCCAAACCGGTTTTGGCATATTATCAGGTTTTTAGTCTCACCTTCCTTCTGGTTCTCACTGAAGCAAGTAATGCTGTTTTAAACACATTTGGGCCAAAAACTGGCTATAAAATTTCCTTCTGTACCATTTCTTCTTCCTTGACTCCCTCGAGCCTGGTGTGCAAAGAGTAGGGTCTCCCATTTTCTCTAGAGCCGTGGTCGGCAAACTGCGGCTCGCGAGCCACATGCGGTTCTTTGGCCCCTTGAGTGTGGCTCTTCCTAAGCCTTAGGAGTACCCTAATTAAGTTAATAACAATGTACCTACCTATATAGTTTAAGTTTCAAAAATTTGGCTCTCAAAAGAAATTACAATCGTTGTACTGTTGATATTTGGCTCTGTTGCCTAATGAGTTTGCCGACCACTGCTCTAGAGCACCTACACCAGCAGGGATGCCAGACCATCTGCCTGCACTCCCAGGTCTAGAAATTTGCCTTTCTTGGGGGTATTTGCTGTGATATGTTTTTGCCTGGTAAGAATTTTAGTGTGTGCGTGTTTAAAGACTTTCATTCCACTTTCAGTATACGTGCTTCTTAAGAAAAACTCACTTTACATGCTGTGGTCACTTTGGCTTTTTAAACCCACCTTGTCCAGAACAGAAAAACAACTCATCAATTAAAAATACTGGGTTTGTGGTCCATAGGTAATGCTTGAATGTTTCCTTTATCCCGAAAGCGTGTAAACTTTTTCTGTATGTGGTTGAATCTAAACAGTTCCCCGTGTTGAGCACTGATGTACAAGGAATAAACAGAAGTCAAGAGAAGCAGACCTGGTGGGAGAAAGCCCTGTACTCGCCCCTCTTCCCTGCGTCAGAGTGCGAAGGTAAGGAGACGCGACTAGGTCTTCCCTTCATGGTTCTCATCTGCTAAGAGCAATACATTCTTTTGCTCCGAATGTCGGTCCAAAACAAATGAGGTGCCAATGTGGCTGGCATGTCAGGCGCTGGGGACATGGGTGGAGGAGAGCGGTCCCTGCTCTTACACTCGGCCACAGCCTGACGTGGGGAAGGCATGGAAACGCACCCGCAGCCCAGGCCTTTGCCGAGGCTGTGCCAGCCCCCAGGAGCTGCGGGAGGAAGTCGCCCTCGAGGCCTGCAGGAAGGCCCTGGTGGGAAAGCCGGGAGGCCAGTGCCTGAAAAGGGCGGCTGCCCTGAAGCCCGGGGCTCTGTGGCAAGTCCAGGACCACAGCTGAGGCCAGAAAGGCGGAGGAGCGTGTCGGGTGTGGGAACCCTGCTGGGGCAGGCGCAGCTGACCATGCAGGAAGGCAAGCAACCCTCAGGAGTTCCCTGGGGGTTGGGTCTGGGTTTATAGCCGTCCTAGCAGCAGGTGCAGATGGAATAGAGAGGCTGAGACCTGGAGTTCCAGGCCCTCCCGGTGTGGCACCAGAGGGCAGCAGGGGGAGAGCGGCTTCTGGAGGTTTGCAGAGGGAGCCAGAGTTTGTTGAGTGACTTGCTGTGAGGAGTGAACAGCAAGGGGGCGCTTGGGGAGACCCGGCAGAGGGGAGATGGGACCAGGAGGTTTGGTGAAGGTGGTTTTCATTTATGAGCCTCCTAGGCAGACCCGCCCAGAAGCTATACAGACCTCGGTCTGAAATTCTGGGAGGAGAAATGGGCAGGAAGGAGGCCACCCAAATGAATCCACGCACGAGGCTGAGCTTGTCCCGTCGCTGCGTCTCCGGCGTCAGCGCTGGTTTCACCGTCTCTCCCGTCAGCCCTGCGGCCACGTAACTCTCTTGCTAGTGTGTACCTGTTCATGCATGTCTCCCAGCTGTTGGAGTGTGGACGCAGCGCCATCTGTCCCTTGCTGCCCAGGTGCTGCACCTCTGGGTGCTCAAGGCCTCGGCTGACGGGGGAGGCCAGAGTGTTTGCTTGTCTCTGTTCTGTGAGCACAGAAACGGCTTCCCAAACCCCACCTTCCTCCTTCCCAGAGGCTTGCTGGGTCAAAGGGGGGCCCAGAGCGGGGCTTCGTTTTTAGTGTCTATTTTATTTGACAGCGTTTAGTAAAGGCCTGCTGCTGTGCCATAGCTAATACCTGGGCTGCCCTTGAATATTTACCAGGTGCTCTCACTCTCTTTTCTGTTATACAGCTCCCACAAAAGCCTTGTGCAGTGTCACCCCCAGTTTTCAGGCGGGGAAGCCAGTTCTCAGATTTCATCATTTGCCCGGATCCTGCATTAGCGCTAAGCCCCAGCTTGAGGCCAGCCGTCTCCCCGCCGGTCCAGGGCCTTGCTGTCTGCAGCCGGGGTCTGCGCTTGGTGTCAGGGAGATGCTTGGGCGATAGGAGCACAAACCTGCCTTGCCGAGTGTCTAGTCTGGTCCCCTGGGTGCGGGTTACGTCACAGAGGTGCAGTAGGAGGGCCGAGTGCCCCCCCCCCCCCCAGCAGTGCAGCAGGGACCTCCTGGGTGCCAGGGTGGAGCGAGGGCTGAGCCGCAGGCAGGCTGGGAGTTGAGGAAGCCCCTTACCTGTGAGGCTGAGGGTGAGTCTCAGACACGCAGAGTCTTGCTTTGTTAGCGTCCCTGTCCAGTTGCCCCTCACCAGCTAGTGAGGGACCTGGTCCTGGCTCTCACGCTGGGTTCTTGTATCTGTACGCCCTTGGCAGGTGCTCACGTGGTTGCTCATGCGTTTCCACCGTGGCGTGGTACAGAGAAACTCGCAGTGGGGGAGTGGCGACCAGGCTTTTGAATGGTCTGTAACTCCCCAGTGCCAGTACGTCCTGCGCAGCTGCCTTGCAGTGGTGTTGGAAGCGTCCTTCCTTCCTCTGTGGAGGGGGCCTGTCATTGCAGGGGCTTGGCCAGGAAAGCAGGTAGCCCTCCTCCACTCGGCTGACGTCAGCTCCCGAACCTCTCAGCTGCTAATGATGACTAACAAGTTCACGCTGCTTGTGCAGGGGCTGACCTGGGAGCACTCAGCTTCCTGGGGAGGAGGGTCCTCCCACCCACAAGGAGGCGGCTTGTCCAGGCGCCCAGAGCAGCGTGGGAGCCCGGCTGGCATGCGCTCTGCCACCTGCTGGCCTTGCTGTGCATTCATATCCATTCAGAGATTTCTTGCATGCCTACCTGTGCCGGGCACTGTTCTAGGCACTGGGGGTCAAGAGGCCACAGACCGAGTCCCTGACCTCCTGAGGAGCTAACATTAGAGCAGGGACCCCAGGGAATAAGGATGCAAGTCCTGTGACAGCTGGAGCTCCTGCAGGGACAGGTGTGCATGCCGTGCCCAGCGTGCCTGGCGAGCGGGCCCGTGCGGGACTCAGACCTCAGAGCCTTGCGGACTGCACGGCGTCTACCCCGCGGCGGGTCTGTCCTGGCTGCGATCCAGAGCTCACACACTCGACTCTGAACTCATTGGTAGCGGATGCGTTATTTTAGCCTAAAGGGAGCCCTGTCGGAGCCAGTGCAGATAATAGCTAAGGGCTCAGGAGACAAAACTGAGCTGGAAGCAAGTGCCTACTACCAGCTGCTGGACCTTGGCAGTGACCGGGTCTCTGAGCCTCCGTGGCCGGTATTTGTAGAAGAGGTGGGAGCTAAGCTCCTGACAGGGCAGCTGTGGAGAGAGCGTCCAGAGCAGGCCTGGCAGTCACAGCCCGGACACGGCAGCGCCAACGTGAGGGTCATGGAAATACTGGCAGCGATGACGCGTCCTTTCCTGTGGCGTCACAGCCCCTTCGTGCAGAGAGGACCCCTAAGGCCTGAGGAGAAAGCGAGGGGTCGGGCGGCATGGACCCTTGTCTCCTCTAGGTGTGTCCCAGCCCCCACCGCTCACCTCACCTGGTACCAGTGCTGACCCGGAGGTGGGCCTGGGAGATGGGACTTGGTCAGGCCGCCCAGGAAACGGTGGCCTCCTAGAGCGGGTGGCGGTGTCCCTGCCTCATCAGAGTGCGAGGTGGCCAATCCCCGAGCCCGGGGCTGGGTCGTGCCCTTGGGAGAGGTGTTACTGGGCGTGCCCGCACTGCACAGGGCCGCACCACCCGGAAACCTAGAGGTCTGCGTGCTCCTGTGTTAGCGACGAGGGGCGGCTCGGGGAGGCCCAGCCAGCCTCCCCTCTGCCTCACATGTGGCCAACCAGGAACCAGCTGGATCGTCTGTCCTGGAGCCGGGCGCTTTCACAGCTACACTCATGCCCGTCAGGCCTGAGCAGGCGATGCGAGGGCGGTGTGGCCAGCATGGCCTTCCCTCCGCTCAGGCCCCGCCGGCCCGGTCCCCGGCCTCTGTGAGGCGCGGCCATTTCGTTGAGCACCTCGGGGCAGGTGCTTGGCTGTCACAGGACCTACACACAGTGGCTTCAAAACGGTCCGAGGGCTGCTCGTCACCGCGTCTCCTCCAGCCTGTTCCACAGTCGTGGGGAGGAGGGTCCCCGCCCTGGCTGCGCATCAGCCCTCCCTGGGGAGGAGTCAACTCTGACTGCAAAATTACAGTCAATAAAAGTATATACAAACATAGAATCCTGGGAGAAAAGAATTCCCTGGGAGCTTTTCAGGAAATGCTAATCCCAGACCCGTCCCCAGCCAGTTGAGTAGGAATGTCAGGGAGGCTGGGCCTCCCGCCCTCCTGCAGGCCCGAGTGCAGGTGGCAGCCAGGCTCAAGGGCTCGGGACACACGCCCTGCTTCCTCTGACTTCAGCTTCCCGCTCCTCCCGCACCCCCCTGGGCCGCCACCCAGCCAGGCCCTGGCCCCGTTCTCCATCCACAGACCAGAGGAGTGTGGTTAGTCTGTGCTGAGTTGCTGAAGAGCAAGCAAGGACGTCCCTGCTTTGGTTTCTCATCGAAGTTCCTCCTGTCTGACCCCTTTGTTCATCCGTTAGACAGGCAGACACGGGGCCCGTGGTCTCTCCCTCCGTGCCCTGCGCACTCTTTCGAGCTTGGACCTTGCGTCTTTATCCTGTGATACAGGCGCACCTCGGAGGTCCTGCGGGTCCCTTCCCGCCACCCTGTGAAGAGCTCACAGTATAGCAAGTGGAAATCTTTTGCTGGCGGAGGGTCTTGCCTTCCACTTGTTTTTAAGTAAGTCTGACGCGCAGTGAGATGAGGCGTGGGGAGTGGGTGTGTCCTGGTAGGACAACAGGAATCCAGGGTGGTGCCGGCCTGGTTTAAAACCCAGTCTGTTGAAGAACGTCTCTGCTGCCTGGTGTTCGCTTCGAATGCCCTGTGGCTGCTTAGTGACCGGACCCCCGCCCCCTCCCCCCCGGGTTGGTAGCCCGACTGGCCTGGCTCTCAGCAGAAATGAGGCAGGGATGTCTGTGTCATACCTGTGTCTTAATGGAATTTCCCCCTTTCCCTTTTTTCCCTTCTCCACTCAAAATGATTAAGAACGCTATACAAATGCCAAGGGAGAGCATGGTATAGAAGAGTATCCAGATGCTAAAGAAATGCCCTGTAATGAAGAGCGTCTGTTAGATTTTAATAGGGTAAGTGGACTGTCCTGCTCCTTATGCTGGCTTAAGTGGCAACCCCGCCCCTTGTCACGAAGCTGAGACTTGGGAGTCTGTGAGCTGCCCCTCACCCTCCCCTCCTGTCCCTGAGCTCGGGGCTGTGACCTTTCTCCTCTGTAGCCCTTCGCTTGGTCCACGGCGCCTCCGGCCTCAGCCCTAGGCTCCCCCAGCTGTGCTCTACACTGAATCCAAACCTGAGCCTGTCACTCCCACATTCACAGGGTGGGTACCCTCTCACCGTTCCCAGCACAGCCCAGGGAGCCTGTCTGTGCCTGCCGTACCTGGTCCAGCGCAGCAGCCATAGCCCTGCCTGCGTGTCTGCCTCCCCCCAGACCTGGGACTCCTGAGGGCGGGCGGGCCTGGGAGCCCTGGTCCAGTCAGGCAGGCAAATGGGTTGCA